ACATGCAGCCAAGAATACTATATCCAGCTAGGCTATCATTGAAAATAGAAGGAGAGATTAAAAGCTTCCAGGACAAACAAAAACTGAAAGAATTTGCAAACACCAAACCAGCTCTACAGGAAATATTGAAAGGGGTCCTCTAAGCAAAGAGAGACCCTAAAAGTAGTAGATCAGAAAGGAACAGAGACAATATACAATAACAGTCACCTTACAGGCAATACAATGGCACTAAATTCATATCTCTCAATACTTACCCTGAATGTGAATGGGCTAAATGCCCCAATCAAAAGACACAGGGTATCAGAATGGATAAAAAAACAAAACCCATCTATATGTTGCCTACAAGAAACTCATCTTAAACCTGAAGACACCTCCAGATTTAAAGTGAGGGGGTGGAAAAGAATTTACCATGCTAATGGACATCAGAAAAAAGCAGGAGTGGCAATCCTTATATCAAATCAATTAGATTTTAAGCCAAAGACTATAATAAGAGATGAGGAAGGACACTATATCATACTCAAAGGAACTGTCCAACAAGAAGATCTAACAATTTTAAATATCTATGCCCCTAACGTGGGAGCAGCCAACTATATAAACCAATTAATAACAAAATCAAAGAAACACATCGACAATAACACAATAATAGTAGGGGACTTTAACACTCCCCTCACTGAAATGGACAGATCATCCAAGCAAAAGATCAACAAGGAAATCAAGGCCTTAAATGACACACTGGACCAGATGGACATCACAGATATATTCAGAACATTTCATCCCAAAGCAACAGAATACACATTCTTCTCTAGTGCACATGGAACATTCTCCAGAATAGATCATATTCTCGGTCCTAAATCAGGTCTCAACCGTTATCAAAAGATTGGAATCATTCCCTGCATATTTTCAGACCACAACGCTCTGAAGCTAGAACTCAATCACAAGAGGAAATTTGGAAAGAACCCAAATACATGGAGACTAAACAGCATCCTTCTAAAGAATGAATGGGTCAACCAGGAAATTAAAGAAGGGTTGAAAAAATTCATGGAAACAAATGATAATGAAAACACAATGGTTCAAAATCTGTGGGACACAACAAAGGCAGTCCTGAGAGGAAAATATATAGCGGTACAAGCCTTTCTCAAGAAACAAGAAAGGTCTCAGGTACACAACCTAACCCTACACCTAAAGGAGCTGGAGAAAGAACAAGAAAGAAACCCTAAACCCAGCAGGAGAAGAGAAATCATAAAGATCAGAGCAGAAATCAATGAAATAGAAACCAAAAAAACAATAGAACAAATCAACGAAACTAGGAGCTGGTTCTTTGAAAGAATTAATAAGATCGATAAACCCCTGGCCAGACTTATCAAAAAGAAAAGAGAAAGGACCCAAATAAATAAAATCATGAATGAAAGAGGAGAGATCACAACGAACACCAAAGAAATACAGACAATTATAAGAACATACTATGAGCAACTCTACGCCAACAAATTTGACAATCTAGAAGAAATGGATGCATTCCTAGAGACATATAAACTACCACAACTGAACCAGGAAGAAATAGAAAGCCTGAACAGACCCATAACCAGTAAGGAGATTGAAACAGTCATCAAAAATCTCCAAACAAACAAAAGCCCAGGGCCAGACGGCTTCCCGGGGGAATTCTACCAAACATTTAAAGAAGAACTAATTCCTATTCTCCTGAAACTGTTCCAAAAAATAGAAATGGAAGGAAAACTTCCAAACTCATTTTATGAGGCCAGCATCACTTTGATCCCAAAACCAGACAAGGATCCCATCAAAAAAGAGAACTACAGACCAATATCCTTGATGAACACAGATGCAAAAATTCTCGCCAAAATACTAGCCAATAGGATTCAACAGTACATTAAAAGGATTATTCACCACGACCAAGTGGGAGTTATTCCAGGCCTGCAAGGTTGGTTCAACATCCGCAAATCAATGAGTGTGATACAACACATTAATAAAAGAAAGAACAAGAACCATATGATACTCTCCATAGATGCTGAAAAAGCATTTGACAAAGTACAGCATCCCTTCCTGATCAAAACTCTTCAAAGTGTAGGGATAGAGGGCACATACCTCAATATTATCAAAGCCATCTATGAAAAACCCACTGCAAATATCATTCTCAATGGAGAAAAACTGAAAGCTTTTCCGCTAAGGTCAGGAACACGGCAGGGATGTCCGTTATCACCACTGCTATTCAACATAGTACTAGAAGTCCTAGCCTCAGCAATCAGACAACAAAAGGAAATTAAAGGCATCCAAATTGGCAAAGAAGAAGTCAAACTATCACTCTTCGCAGATGATATGATACTATATGTGGAAAACCCAAAAGACTCCACTCCAAAACTGCTAGAACTTGTACAGGAATTCAGTAAAGTGTCAGGATATAAAATCAATGCACAGAAATCAGTTGCATTTCTCTACACCAACAACAAGACAGAAGAAAGAGAAATTAAGGAGTCCATCCCATTTACAATTGCACCCAAAACTATAAGATACCTAGGAATAAATCTAACCAAAGAGACTAAGAATCTATACACAGAAAACTATAAAGTACTCATGAAAGAAATGGAGGAAGACACAAAGAAATGGAAAAATGTTCCATGCTCCTGGATTGGAAGAATAAATATTGTGAAAATGTCTATGCTACCTAAAGCAATCTACACATTTAATGCAATTCCTATCAAAGTACCATCCGTTTTTTTCAAAGAAATGGAACAACTAATCCTAAAATTTATATGGAACCAGAAAAGACCTCGAATAGCCAAAGCAATATTGAAAAAGAAAGCCAAAGTTGGTGGCATCACAATTCCAGACTTCAAGCTCTATAACAAAGCTGTCATCATCAAGACAGCATGGTACTGGCACAAAAACAGACACATAGATCAATGGAACAGAATAGAGAGCCCAGAAATAGACCCTCAAGTCTATGGTCAACTAATCTTCGACAAAGAAGGAAAGAATATCCAATGGAAAAAAGACAGCCTCTTCAACAAATGGTGTTGGGAAAATTGGACAGCCACATGCAGAAAAATGAAATTGGATCATTTCCTTACACCACACACGAAAATAGACTCAAAATGGATGAAGGATCTCAATGTGAGAAAGGAATCCATCAAAATCCTTGAGAAGAACACAGGCAGCAACCTCTTCGACCTCAGCCGCAGCAACATCTTCCTAGGAACATCGCCAAAGGCAAGGGAAGCAAGGGCAAAAATGAACTATTGGGATTTCATCAAGATCAAAAGCTTTTGCACAGCAAAGGAAACAGTTAACAAAACCAAAAGACAACTGACAGAATGGGAGAAGATATTTGCAAATGACATATCGGATAAAGGGCTAGTGTCCAAAATCTATAAAGAACTTATCAAACTCAACACCCAAAGAACAAATAATCCAATCAAGAAATGGGCAGAGGACATGAACAGACATTTCTGCAAAGAAGACATCCAGATGGCGAACAGACACATGAAAAAGTGCTCCACATCACTCGGCATCAGGGAAATACAAATCAAAACCACAATGAGATACCACCTCACACCAGTCAGAATGGCTAAAATTAACAAGTCAGGAAATGACAGATGCTGGCGAGGATGCGGAGAAAGGGGAACCCTCCTACACTGTTGGTGGGAATGCAAGCTGGTGCAACCCCTCTGGAAAACAGCATGGAGGTTCCTCAAAATGTTGAAAATAGAACTACCCTATGACCCAGCAATTGCACTGCTGGGTATTTACCCTAAAGATACAAACGTAGTGATCCGAAGGGGCACGTGTACCCGAATGTTTATAGCAGCAATGTCTACAATAGCCAAACTATGGAAAGAACCTAGATGTCCATCAACAGACGAATGGATAAAGAAGAGGTGGTATATATACACAATGGAATACTATGCAGCCATCCAAAGAAATGAAATCTTGCCATTTGCGACGACGTGGATGGAACTAGAGGGTATCATGCTTAGCGAAATAAGTCAATCGGAGAAAGACAGCTATCATATGATCTCCCTGATATGAGGGAGAGGAGATGCAACATGGGGGGTTAAGGGGGTAGGAGAAGAATAAATGAAACAAGATGGGATTGGGAGGGAGACAAACCATAAGTGACTCTTAATCTCACAAAACAAACTGAGGGTTAATGGGGGGAGGGGGGTTGGGGGGGTGGGATTATGGACATTGGGGAGGGTATGTGCTATGGTGAGTGCTGTGAAGTGTGTAAACCTGGCGATTCACAGACCTGTACCCCTGGGGATAAAAAGATATTATATGTTTAAAAAAATAAAATTAAAAAAAAAAAAAAAAGAAATATTTAGGTTTGATAGAGTAGCCAACAGGGCAGTGAGATATTTTTGCACAGAAGGATGAACTAAAGTGGAGAAAGGAATTAGGTTAAAAAAAAATCAGCTAGGTCAATTAGAAAACTGATTAAAATAGATACAATTTTTCTCTTAGTGTACTTTAAGTAGTATCTCATGAAATCACGAATGGATCTCCCCCAAGTTTTCTGGGCTTCACAGTCTTCTACACTTTAAATCATAATACATGTTCAGTCTCATCTCTTTCTCTCCCTGCCTCTCTTTCTCTTTTTCTCAAATATATGTCAAGGAATATACACAGCTGAATTAAAAATAAGAGAAAAAAAAGGAAGCATAATCAATTAATTTTAACCTGAAAACTGTTGGTACAAAAGCATTTGTAACTGACTTGAAATTAACGTGAAAATAAAACTAAAATGGTGTCATTATCACTGAATCTAATTCTAGGAAAGTTCTAACATACACTTCTTTTTATTGACCATTAAACTCACTTAAAAATACATGAAATGCATGATTATAACTTACTGTGCTTTATTCTGTGAGCAATTTAATATTTATGCATACTAAGAATAAAGTAACTTTACTTTGCACATTATCAAAAAAGCATAATGTAATTACATTTAGCTTGAGTAGATAAGTAAAACAAATATATATTGATTTTACCTTTGCTTTAGTCGTCTTTTGGCTGTTGTGGGAACATTAGCACCATAGCCATAGGAAAAAAGAACCCTTTCAGCCTCATCTTCATTTTCAACTGGAAAATATTAAAGTGTATGATGTAAAATAAGTTTTTTTTTTTCCTTAAAAAGCACGGCAGAAGTGAAAATAAAAGAGGTCATACTAATGAATCAGGGAGCATAAGAGCATTAAAAAGGGCTAATGCATAATCTCAAACAGTCCATTTGTAAGTAGAAGCGTATTTCTTAAAGTATATCGTCGCTTAAATCTGTTCCATTTTTAACATTTTATTTTTAAAAGGTGTAAGGGCTTGCATCATATGACATGTTAAAGTTTCTTCTTATAAATCATAATAATATAGATGTTGTGTTATTCTGAATGATTCTAAGGCTTTTTATGTAGAGTGTGTGTTATGTAATTATAAATAAGTAATGATAACATCAATTTCATTACTTCTCTTCTTGATAAAACAAATGATTATTTTTAATTAGGAAAGATGTCCATTATTTTATCAGAACAACTTTATCTTAACTTGCAATAATGATATTGTACATTTAAGTAGGTTACTCTGTGATAAAAAATGCACACTATGAACAATGTATTGATGGCCTTTTATTTTTTAATTAGAAAAAAATTCAGTAAAACCATTTACTTCTAAATTCCGCCACTGTCACACCACTCTTTTTCAGGAGGAATTTTAACTGACAGGTTAACATTTCATTGTTAAACAGTTTGAAGGCAATGGCAACTTTACTGTAGGTTGGGATTAAAAAATAAAGCCCCCAAAACTAAAGGTTTACTAGCTCAAATTAAGGCAGTCAATGATATATAACAATTTTTATAACATTATTCAACAACAACCATTATTTTAACATTAAAAAGAGAAACCTTTCTCTTTCTTTTTTAGAAGATTTTATTTATTTATTTATTTGTCAGAGAGAGAGAGAGAGAGAGAGAGAGAAAGAGAGAGTACAAGCAGGGAGTGGCAGGCAGAGTAGGCAAAGGGAGAAGCAAGCTCCCTCTGATCTCAGTCCGAGGGCCCTGGGATCATGACCTGAGCTGACGGCAACCGACTGAGCCATCCAGGCGCCCCCAAAGACCTTTCAGAAGTGTTCCAGATTTAAAACAAAGCCACAGAGTTCACATTAGTAAATGAAGCTATTTGCAGGTCCATTACTGTAATATGCATATATTTGTTGACTGATTTTTTTATGGTATAATAAGAATTTTAAATAAATTTTCCCTGTTTTCCTTTAACTTTATCCCTATTTTTCATGGTGAACCAGAGTCCGTCTTCAGAGGTAGATTTATTAGTTTTCAGGTAAATGTGGAAGTAAGAGATGACATATGCCATTGCCAATACTAGTATCAGCTGTCATGGCTCTGGATCCAAGATGAGCTCTTCAATTCAGCTCTATCAGAATGGCAGAATGGCTCTCCTAGAGCTGGTATTTACTTTATTTATTTATTTAAAAGATTCTATTTATTTATTTGACAGACAGAGATCACAAGCAGGCATAGAGAGAGAAAGAAGGAAGCAGGCTCCCCGCTGAGCAGAGAGCTGGATGCGGGTCTCGATCCCAGGACCCTAGGATCACGATCTGAGCGGAAGGCAGAGCCTTTAACCCACTGAACCACCCAGGCGCCCCCCTGAGTTGGCATTTTGATACCTATCTGACTCTTGTCTCTAAATTCAGAAGGAAGAAGGTAAATGTAGTTAAAATCTCAAAAACCCATCAGTTAGATATTAATGGACATCTTAAATTTGAGTTTTTTTTTTTAATTGTTCAAATTTTTGTTTTGGTGCACAGTATAAGAAATGAACTTTTAAATCAACTGAATTTTATGGAAAATGGAACATCAAATAAATTAGACCCATGTTAAAATAGAAGGTCAGTTAAATGTCCAAACTTAAGGATATAAGAGCCACAGATAAACTTCAATTCTATAATCTTCTTTAAAAGGTCAAAGTCTTTCAAACACAACTTTGCTATGAACTACACCTAATAAATGAAGTCTAACCATCTTCATATCAGCTGAAATTTCCTGTATTAGATGGTGATCCTTTGAAAATTGTACACAATGTAGTACTAAAAAAGAATGTTTTTTTGATTTTTTAAAGATTTTATTTATTTATTTGACAGAGAGAGAGATCACAAGTAGGTGGAGAGGCAGGCAGAGAGAGAGAGAGGAGGAAGCAGGCTCCCCACTGAGCAGAGAGCCCGATGCGGAGCTCCATCCCAGGACCTGGGGATCATGACCGGAGCCAAAGGCAGAGGCTTTAACCCACTGAGCCACCCAGGAGCCCCCTAAAAAAGAATGTTTTGTACTACATCTTTGAAATTTTTGTTACTAAGTAGTCTTTAAGGATAGAAATATTTTTTTTAAAGATAAGAATATTCTAATTTCCATTGTGAATGGATAGAGATGAACCTAGTTTCTTGATCTTCCAAGTATAAATATATTTTATTCTAAGATGATTTTAATATGATTTAAACAATAGCAAAGCAAAAATTTATTTCTGCATTTTTCCTAAAGATTTTATTAAGAGGGATGCCTGAGTGGCTCAGTGAGTTAAGAGTCTGACTCTTGATTTTGGCTCAGGTCATGATCTCAGGGTGGTGAGATTGAACCCTGCATCTAGCTGTGCTGGGCATAGAGCCTGCTTAGGATTCTCTCTCTCCCTCTCCCTCCACCAGCACCCCACTCCCATTTCTCTTGGGTTGCATGCCTGCTCACTCTCTCTCAAAAAAAAAAAAAAAAAAAAAAAAAAGATTTTATTCAGAAAATATTTACACATATGGAAAAGCTGAAGGATGTTTATAGTGTACACCCATATAGCTCAACATCTGGATTCTAAGTTAAACATTGCATTGTACATAATTTATTATACATCTATCACTACATACATTTATGGATCTATCTTACATTTCTGATGTTATTTTCAAGTAAGTTGTAGACATCTGTTCTTCACCTTTCAATAGTTCAACATGTAAATTATCAACTATAGTTCAATATTTATTTGTAGTTCTTCTTAAAAAAAATTAAATTTACATATGGTAAGGGGTACAAATTTTAAATCTTCCATTCAGTGAGTTCTGAGAATATACACATATGTGTAACACAAACTCTATTAAGATACAGAATTCCAACACCCTGGAAAGTTCCCTAATACCTCTTTTCCCAGTTAATTTTTGGAGACAACCATCCTTAGAGGCAACCACTGTAGTGCATTTTTTCACTATAGATTAATTTCTCCTCTTCTAGATTTTTACATTTTTTTTTTAAAGATTTCATTTATTTACTTGACAGACAGAGATTACAAGTAGGCAGAGAGGCAGGCAGAGAGAGAGGGGGAAGCAGATTCCCTGCTGAGCAGAGAGCCTGATGTGGGGCTCGATACCAGGACCCTGGGATCATGACCAGAGCCAAAGGCAGAGGCTTTAACCCACTGAGCCACCTAGGCGCCCCTAGATTTTTACATTTTTACATTTCAGGCTTCTTAGACTAAGCATAAAGTTTTTCAGATTCACCCATGTTGTTGAAGAATCAGTAGTTTGTAACTGTTTCTTTTTACTGCAGGGTAGTATTCTAGAATATAAAATGTATTATGGTTTGATTAGCCATTTTCCTGTGATAGTCACCTGGGTTGTTGCCAGTTTTTGACTATCATGAATGCAGCTCCTAAGAATATCCAGGTAGAACTCTTTTTGTGTGCGTATGCTTTCTTTTCTCTTGGGCAAAACAGAGAAGGAATAGAATTGCTGTATTATCGGATAGGTTGTTTGGTTTTACAACAAACTGCAGTTGTTCTATATTCTCACTAACATTGCTATAACCAGTCTTTCTAATTTCAGCCATTTTCGTAGTGTGTACTAGTATTACTGAATGTGGGCCTTTTAATAGGTCTTTGCATTTCCATATAAATGGAATATGAAAAGTATTTTAAACTGCATTAAAATGTTTCGTATGTTATAAAAATAGAAATCCTTGCCTTGTAAAGAAAAAGCATTTACTACTTCATCATTAGGTATCATATTAGCTGTAGGTTCTTTGTAGATATCCTTTATCAGATTGAGGAAGTTCTGTTCTACTCCTGATTTATTTAGACAGAGGGACATGTACAAAATTCTGAAGATAACAAGGAGTGTGGAACTTTCAAAATAAGATGATATGACAGGGAATGGCAAGGCATGAAAGACAAAGGAGAGTCTAATGAAAAAAGTCATGCTAAGGAATGTGACTTTATGCTGTCTTAAGACGACAGGCATTAAAGCAGGTGTATGGTACAATCAAATCTGTATTTTATAAAGACTCCTCTGACTTCAGTCAAGACACTGGCAAATTTGGAAACTTGCAGTTATCGGATACTGATCCTAGAAATGGAAGAAAGATAATGATAGGAATTAAATGAAAGTTTTCCTTAAATGGGCCTACAAATACAACAGAGCCTTTACAAGAAAATGTGCATAAAACAGATTCAAATTCAATTTCAGCTTCAACTGAAATTTAAACCCACTTTATAAGAATGTCCCTTTCTGAGATTTCTGACTTTCAAACAAAAATAATGTGCTGTAGCACACATCTCAGTCAATGGTGAAAGGTTAATTTAAAATATTCCCGTAACACCTAGTATAGCACAGAAAAGAGAGCGTATTGAGAGGAAACAGAAGAGGTAGAAATTGAAGGTCCAGGATTATTACCAGGTAGAGCCAAGGAATTTTTGTTTTTTAAGACTCATTCAAAGTGTCACCTCCTCTCCTAGGTATTGTATTCCTCACCTCCAAGGTGGAAATAACTTATCACCACTTGTGTATTTCCACTGAGAAATGCCTATTTCTTGCTACTAGCACGTATCTCACTACTTTAATTATCTTTAGTATGTTTGCTTCTTCCAGTGGTGTAGGTGAGGAAGTCTAAGCAGCAAGCATTATTACAGGAACTCCCCAGCCCCAGATCCTGGCACATGGAAACATTTAACCGCTCCATGAGGAACTGAATACATGAAAAAGATAAAATCTATCTTGGTTAACCTATTTTTTAAGTACCAACTACTGAAATTAAGATTAACTAATTTTTTGGGCGCCTGGATGGCTCAGTCAGTGAAGTGGCTGCCTGCAACTAGGGTCACGATCCCAGGGATTGCGTCCCGCATCGGGCTCCCTGCTCCGCGGAGGGCCTGCTCTCCCTCTCCCTGCCGCTCTGCTTACTGGTGCTCTCTATCTCTCTGTCAAATAAATAAATAAAATCTTTAAAAAAAAAAAAGGATTAACTAATTTTTAAAATAGAAGATATTTAATTTTTGAAAGTCACCAACTGGATTTTAAAGAAACAGACAAATGCAGTTTTAGAAATGTTATCAGGTTTCCTGTGCTGCCAGAAAAAAGAGCTGTGTATGTGAGGTAGTAGGCGACTTACTTTCTGCAGTTTGCATTATTATTTCATCGAGCTCTTTTTCCAATTTCTCATAAATGTCTAGCCTTGCCTGATGCTCAGAGTTCTGTGACTGAAGTTCAGTAATGCGTTTTTCAGAAGAGGCTTGGAGACTATAAAATTCTTTAGTTAAAACCTAATAGTAGAAGAAAAAAAAATTGCAAAGGCAGAATTAAACAAGGTTAACAGTTAAGACAAGTATGTGACACAAAAATACTCTGACTTTTTTTTCCCTCTTTCTAATGATTTTAATATGAGGAGAAAGTAGCTTGATTGAGATGACTGAGCAGGTAAGATAGATTATTTTTAAAGTAAATAATTCATTTGTCTGTAACTGAAAATTACGAAGCACGTTACTGTAAGAAGTGAAAAAACAACAAAATTAAAGCTTTGAAATAGTTTTCGGAGTAAGATTAGCATTTACTTATTAGAACTAGGAAAATGCAAGAGTGCCGTACTTATCAGAAGGTCATTTATTTGGCAACTGTAGCTACTGGAGAAAGGCTCACAGGCTTATAAAGCTGTATGTGAAAATGATATACCCATCCTCCAGTCTTCCAACAGAGTTTATTTCATCCATGCTGACCATGGTTTTAATGAGATTTCTGGTTTCTTGAACAATCATAAATTCAAAGCAACAAATCAAAATGATAAATATGAAGTCCCACTTGGGGCAGTAACAGAAAATGCCTTTGTATAGAAAGGAAGGATTTAAAAAAATTGTAAAAAACAGATATGGAAATTGGAGTTATCTTGTGTAAGAACAAAAAATCCTACATTCTCCAGTGGTGACACGTTGAAGGAATCACTATGATGATGAATTCACTAAAAAAAGGAGACATTTCTAGTGGCAAAAGAAATGTTTTAATACTTAAATTACATTCCAATTATCTAGAAAGTCTACTAACTAGAACAGGCTAAATTATGCAGTGGTATTACACGTGCTTCCCAGCACAGCATAAGCAAATTACTATTTCCTTAGAAGCAACAGAATATTATGGCTAGGAATATGGGTTTGTAGCCAGAAAGATTTGGATTTCAATGCTGGCTTTGAAACTCATTAGTTGTAGGTGGTAAGCAGTTAAACTCTTTCTAGGCCTACGTCAAAACATTGTTGGAAGGATTACATAAGATGATATGCTCACAGTGCTTTGCATGGTGCCTAGAATACAAGTTGGAATGTAAGTCTGAAAAATACTTTTACTACTGTAAGAATTATGAGAATATTTTATTAAATGGCTTGTAGAAATAGAGATCCTTCCTTAATTACTCTGAATTTTCTATAATGATAAATAATTTTTAACACAACTTATTTTCTCTCATAACATAAAGTTCACCTTAACAAATGTATGTGATTGTACGCTTTCTGTGATGTGGAAAAAGGAAAAGATGCAGATCTATTTCCAGTTTTTACAAACAGAAATTACATTTTCCTTAACATATTTTATCTTATTTTCCTTCAATTATTTCCATCAAAACTTCTCCCCAAAATAAACATTATTCCCCCACCTTCCAAATTTATTCATTGGAGGATAAAGAAAGAAAAACACGGGAATATTGATGATTATGATGATGACTATTATAATGATGGTGATGATGATGGGATGATTTTAGTGTCCCTGATTGGGTCAGAAAAAAGAAATTAATCTTTTAGTATTATTTCTTCTTTACTCTTGCCAGCTGGGAATATGTTTTCCAGAGACTTATTTATTCATTATAACTAAACTGCTAGTCAGTGAAGTGATCTAGAGCTTTCATAGAATTTATTATATTGAGATATAATTCATTAAGACTTTGGTGGCTGATGATACTTACTAATTCCACGGTCAAAAAAAGGGATCAGTAAGGATAGTGCTAAATGACTATTCTCACAGCACAGCTGATACTTTTCATCTGTACTCTACCTCCCTCAATAAAAACACCACACAATGAACACAATGAACCACAATAAAAGACTGCAGAAGTGGATATCTAAAGAGATAAACAATCAAAATGTAGAAGATGGGATATTTTGTAAAGTATTATTTTAATAAGAGATTTTAAAATTGGTATTAAATTGACAGATACAATTTAAAATTCTCTCTTCATAACACAGAGGAAAGATGGCCAGAAACACGTAACAACTCTGTACTCTATGGTAGAGAATTCCTTTTTACTATAGATTTATCTCAGTGGTTGCTATAAATACATTCATTACTGTTTCTGAAAAGCCAAAGAAGATCTTGATTACAGGACCTATGGAAGGCTATTATATTAAAGATTCTTTAGGAAAAACCAATATAAGAACATTTGAGTTTGAAAACGAATGCATAAAATAGATCAGCTGTTTTCAGAAATCCATTAGATATTAAACTTTCACAGTAGCTATTTCCTTCCTTTAAATAACAGAATAACACGAAGTTATATAAAATTATATATATATATATATATATATATATATATAATTACATATAAAGTGGATGAAAATACAAAACTGTAGGTCAATAACAGCTTTAAAAAGAGATAAAAATATAAAGCCAGTGTTTGGGAGCCTTTGCCAATTGATAATTAGAAGTACAACAAGTTGTCTCCAAGCTATAAATCAAGGAAAATATTGGGTAAAAGCCACAGAAAAGTATGTACATATGACAATCGTTATCCTTCGCAAATTTATTTCTCTCTAAATTCATTATAAATAAGAATTGTTTTAGAAATACCTTCCAGTATTTCAGAAAAATGGATTCGAACAATAGTACTGTAGTAACTTTTATCAAACCATTCATGCACTCGTTATTTATTGAGCATCCACCATGAGCAAAGCACTGCGTTAGGTACTGAATAGTCCCTGTCCCCCACAAGGCTCCCAGTTTAATGGAGGAAAAAATGTAAAGAAATTCCCCTAAAGCCTCAGTTTTATCAACCAGTTTTCAGAATCATAATATGTTTTACAAAGGTTTCTCCACAACCTTTACACAAAATAACACGATAATCGCTAGTCAACCGCATTCACTGACCAAGTGGGTAGGTCTATGGGAGAGTGGTTTTCACACTGCAAGTTGTTACCTAAGAGGTCATGACTGCATATGCATGTATATATATATACATGCATATGGACTGCAATCAGCTAAAAATAATAAAACAGAATGGTTCAGGAAACATCAGCACGCATGTGTCGTAAACTATTATGTAGTGAAGTGTTTGTTTCAGAAGTACAGAGAGGGATGTGCTTCCCTGTCTTCCTATATATACCTCCCATCCCCCTTCCACCTGCCCCAAGACACATCCTTAAGCAGTCAACCAACCTGAAGTGGGGGGGAAGGAAAGGCATTTTGCTAGGAATTATGAAATTTAAACCATGGAAAATATAACTTGAAAAAGATGAATTCCAAATTAGAGCTGATCAAATATGATCTAATCGAAAATGCGTGGTAAAATCTGCCGTTGCAGATTATGACAGCACTAGGCTCCCGAAGAAGGTATTTTAAAAAGTTTTTAAATGCCAAATACTGGTTTAGAAATATACACTATCTATAATTTTCGCTTCTATTTCTTATATGTATTTAATATCGTTTTTATATTTTTTCCTAAGCCTTTATTTTCTGTGAGAACCTTTATCTTGTTAATCTTAGTTTTACCTATCAGAGTACTTTTCAGAAATGTAATCTCTGAGAAAGTACTGTAATGAAAACTTACATCATTAGCTAATTAACCATGCTAATGACATTGCTACATTTTTCAATTTTTCAAATGAGCATTTCCCAAAAATCTAAAATATTCAGGAACATGACTACATGGAACCATAGAAACCATGAATGTAGCAAAAAATAGTTTATAATATACTAACTGAAAATTGTTTAATTATCAACTATTTAAATAAATTCCAATTTTTAATATAATAAATAATGCTGTGATACATTCCATTAATATAAACCTTTATGAGCATTTCTTATTATTTCCTCAGGTAAAATTCCTTTAAAATTACTGGATCACTTTTTTTTAAAGATTTTACTTATTAATTTAAGATAGAGCCCACAAGTGGGGCAGATGCTTAATGGACTGAGCCTCCCAGGCACCCCTACTGGATCAATTTTTTAAGGACTTGAATACAGATCACCATATTGTCCTCCAGAAAAGATGTTCTATTTTCTAACTGCATGAGATTTCCCTTTTAAGGGTATTCCTGCCAGCAGTTTCAAAACAACAAAAAGACCTAAGTAAAAGTAGAAAAGAGTTTAAATTTACATTTCTGTAATTATTAGGGAGAATACATGTTTTTGTTCATTTCTTGGCAATTTGCATGTCTTTTCTTGGGAAACAGTTCATTCCTTCTTTCCACCTATTCTCTAGAAGAGGAACATAGGTCCTTTTGATAAGAGATCTTTTAAAAGGAAGGAGACAAGTCTTTTCTCTTATGTAACACGAATATTATTTTTCAGTCTTTATTTTGCCCTTTAATATTATTCAGACTTTTTTTTAAAGATTTTATTTATTTATTTGACAGAGAGAAATCACAAGTAGGCAGAGAGGCAGGCAGAGAGAGAGGAGGAAGCAGGCTCCCTGTTGAGCAGAAAGCCCGATGTGGGGCTTGAACCCAGGACCTGGGATCATGACCTGAGCCGAAGGCAGCGGCTTAACCCACTGAGCCACCCAGGCGCCCCTCAGACTTTTTTTTAAACACGGAAGCATTAAAGGTTTTATTTTATTTCTCCTATATGATTTCTTTCCCTGCTTTTAATCAACAGATCAACAGAATTAATCCCCAAACTTACATAATACAAAACTTCATCTGTATGTAGTTTTAATGGTTTTATAGATCTGTATTTACATTTAGCTAGGATCCATCTCAGTTTTACTTTGGTATAGAGTGTGAAGTATGTAAGTATCTTCTCTGAATACTCAAATGATCATCACAGCACTATTTGTTGTGCAATTCACCCTTCTCACCTGATTTGTAATATAACCTTTACAATGAATACATTCTTAAATTTATGTAATTATGGGTTTTGAGTTCATACTTGATACCACTTATGGATTTTTTGGGGTGGGTTTTAATGTTCTTACCTCAGAATGAATATTTATTTATTTATTTATTTAAAGATTTTATTTATTTATTTGACAGAGAGAGATCACAAGTAGGCAGGCAGGCAGAGAGAGAGAAGGGAGGAACAGGCTCCCTGCTGAGCAGAAAGCCCGATGTGGGACTCGATCCCAGGACCCTGAGATCATGACCTGAGCTGAAGGCAGAGGCTTAACCCACTGGACCACCCAGGTGCCCTCAGAATGAATTTTAAAATGTGATACATATTTCTCATTATTTCTTTATAACAATCTTCTTCAAATATTTATTATTCTTGGGGCACCTGGGTGGCTCAGTCAGTTGAGTGTCCAACTCTTGGTTTCAGCTCAGATCATGATCTCAGTGTTTAAAGATTGAGCCCCAGGCTCATTGGGGAGTCTGCTTGAAGATCCTCACCCTTTGCCCCCCCACCATTCACACACGCACTCTCTTTCTCTCTATAACAAATAAATTTAAAAAATTCATTATTCCTTGTTTTTTTCTTCTAGTTATGCTACAGAATTACTTTGTTCTAATGTTCTAATTACTTAGAGCATGCTAGCATTTGATTAAAAATATGTAATATCACTTGATAAAAATAGAAAAATTAGTAATGCTGCATATTACCAGAAAGATGGTGTTGCTTATATATTAGTGAAGTTTTATGCTTTTCTTGATACAGTCTCTGTACTATTCCTATTAAAAATATTCCAAGTAATTATATATATTTTAGTTGCTATTGTGAATGAGATATTTTTGTTTCTTTTTTTTTTTCCCTGACAAATCCAGTCTTTTTTATTAACATATCTTTCGGAAATATACATATTTTGTGTGTGTGTGCACATGTACACACGCAGGGCAGTGCTAGTTCCTACACGTAAAATAAAAATAAAGCTCAATATGATATGGACTTTGTACTTATTAAAATTACATGCTATGCTAATTTTATTTGATTTTTAAATTATTTTTTAAAAATTAAATTCTATGCCCAAAGTGGGGCTCTAACTCCTGACCCCGAGATCAAGAGTTGCATGTTCTACTGACTGAGCCAGCCAGGAGTCCCATGTTATGCTAATTTTATTTTTTTTAAGATTTTGTTTTTTTTATGAGAGACAGAGAGAGGGAGGGAGGGAGGGAGAGAAAGTGTGAGCGGGTGTGGGGAACGAAGGGGGTGGAGAGGGCGGGGAAAAGAATCTCAAGCAGACTCTGTGCTGAGCATAAAGTCCAACGTGGAGCTCAATCTCACCACCCTGAGATCAGGACCTGAGCCGAAACCAAGAGTTGGATGCTTAGCCTATGGAGCCACCCAGGCACCCCTATTATGCTAATTTTAAAAGAAAAGTCTGTATATGTACCTCTATTTTTTTCTGATATTTTTCACATTCCAGTTGACACTGTGTGAGGTTTCTTGCAGTTTCCTCTTGGATAAGCTGAACACGCTCACTTTCAAAAGATTTTAATTTACTTTGATAGAGATATTCTGTTACTTTGCTTTCTGTACTAAGTTGCAGTTCTCTGTACCTGAAAGAAGCAGAATGGTTATGAGACTCTACAAAAGTCTCAATGATGTCTATTAACACAAACATTACTTGTACTTTTTCCACACCCCCATATTATTATGTAATTAATAACTTATATTTATATAGCAAAGCTTTTGTAAATAATTTAGATAGGCATATGTATGGAAATACGCAAAGTCTGGAGAACAAAACATACTAACTAAACTACCTCTATTGCTCCCTTAGCAATGAATTCCTTTCGTCCCCAAATAATTATTGTCCATTATTATTATTTTGTAAGACATTTAAAATAAAAAATAGTAAGAGCAAGTTTCAGTTTTATTGCTTAAAATGATTTAATTTCTATACCTTTCAAAGGCTGACTTAAATCTACAGCAAAATTGATTCCAAGCTTGCTGTTTCTTTCTGAGTCTAAGTAACATTAGATGGAGGATGGCAGGAAACATGCACATTGGACTGCACATTCTTAGGAATTTTGTAAAATAAATTTTTAAGTTAGTAAATACGTATAGATGGATATTACAAGAAAACATCATGCACAAATTACCAAGATAAATTAAGTAACAAGTAGTATATTATAACATAGATAATGAACATTTTCTTCATTCCATAGGTCTAACCCGTAATAAAACCCTTTCCATATATACATCACCACCTATTATAAATTTGAAAATGCTTCAGGATGATTATGTTCTAGAGAGGAAAATATAGGAACATTATACTGTTTGAGGGAGCTATTATGAACCCAATATAATGCTAGATTATGTTATTAAAATTCATTTATTCAAATATTTATTCAGCTAGTCACTATGCTAGATAAATGTCTATATAATGGTAGACAAAATGGTTTCCCTCCTCTTAAACAAGTTAGTTTCCTGGAGAAGATAGGAAAATAAACATGAAATTTCAACAGAGTATGGCAAATGCTTCAGTAGGGTAATCCTTAGGTACCATCGGAGCATAGAGGAATGAGACATAATTTGGTTTGTATGGATGTGTGTGCAGTGGGCAGTGTATAGGGAGGTTTGGGGTGGGAAGTGCTGTAGAGAGAAGAAATGAGAGTATGTGTACAGCAGGGAAGCAGAGAGCACAGTCTTATTTCATTCAGGGTATCTCATGGAATCCTTACAACAACTCTATGAGGGATTTTGCAGATGAAGACCCAAAGGCTCAGAGATGTCAGAGAATTTCCTTAACAAGAAGAAGCTGCTAGTAAATTTCGGGTTGGGTCTCAAATCCAGCTATATTTGACTCTATAGCAAATGATCTTTCCATGACTATATGATATTCATAACTGACATTTCTGAGGTCAGGTAAGCTTTTTAAAGGTCATTTCGCTATGTGACAGTAACAGTAACATTCAAAGTATAATCAGAGAAGATATGCATTAGGTATTAGTTCTTGGCTCCTTCACTCTTGACACTTTTTTGTCTTTGATAAAAACATTCCACGTTCAGATTGGTGGAAGTTCAGTGGATACTGGTACACACGACTTAAGATAAAGCAAGGCTTTCAGGTAAATGCTAGCTTGTGTGTTTAACTTTCTGGAAAATCCTGCCAGTAGGATACGACATATATATCTGTAAAATTTTTTACAATTTTATTTAAAAAACATCTTTTTATACAGATAAACAAACACTGACAATATTTTTTATTGAGACATAATATATACACTGTAAAATTAACCCTTAAAAGTGTATAATTCACTTTTTATAGTTTTTGGTATAATCACAAAGTTGTGCATCACCACTATCTAATTACAAAATGCTTCTATCACCCCAAATAAGAAACTCACCTTCATTTAGCAATTACTCCCCATCCCCCTCTCCCACCAGGCCCTTGCAACCACTATTCTACTTTTTTACTGTATGGATTTGCTTACTCTAGACATTTCATATAAATGGAATCATATAATATGGGGCTTTTTGATGTTTTCAAGGTTCATCCATGTTGTACCACGTATCAGTACTCCATTCCTTTTTACAGCTGAATAATATTCCATTGCATGGATATACCATAAGTTATTTATCCGTTCATTAGCTCTTAGACATATGGGTCATTCCCACCTTTTTGGCTATTATGAATAATGCTACTATGAACATTTATGTAGAAGTTTTTATGTAAACATGTTTTTGTTTTTCTTGGTTTTATACCTAGGAAAAGAATTGCTAGGTCAAATGGGCACTCTATTTTTTAACTTTCTAAGGAACCGCCAAACTGCTTTCCAATGTGGCTGGATTACTTTACTTTCCCACCAGCAGTTATGAGGCTTCTGACTTCTCCACAACCTTATCATCACTGTTTTTCTTTTATTGTAGCCATTCCCATAGGTGTGAAGTGGAAAAAAAAAAATTCTTTTACTCAAACATTTATTAATTCAACATTTTACTGACCTGAAAGCATCCCTGAGTTAGGTTGTTTTATAAATATAAATGTATAAAACATGTGTGAGATCAATATCTATTTTCTATGCTAAACCCAGGGAATACTCTAGACTGCATTAGCCAAATAAATTCTAGTAAGTCATTCAGAATGTGATATTGATCTTTAAAATTGCTTTGAAAAGATTAAACTGCGAAGTTTGCCTTCCTACGGATTCAAGACATTGTGGGTAATCAATGCCAACTCCAAATAGGAAATTACAGGCTCAGCTTTTAGCGCCACCTGTTCTTATGCATTATAGAGCACTCGAAAGTTACTTTTAGCATTATACTCTTCCCCTATAATGAAAAGTTAAATAACAATAGTTAACTCCTAGAAATTTGAGAACACTAAGTTTAATAAACTGACACTTCTAGAAGTCAAATGATAATTCTAAAGGACTAATCTATTCCTGCATTGTTTATACAATGAAAGAATATGCCTCCAGTCATGAAGCCTGTGTGATAATTCTGAATTTGTTACGGTGAGCTGTGACAATGCTGAAGAGAGTTAGAGCTGCAAAAGCAGTTCCGCCATGACAACCGGAAGATGACAAGAGCGAGTGCCACAGTCTCAGATAATTCCTGCTTGCTTGTTTTGCTAATAGAACCTGTCACATTTTACTTTGTTGATTCTGACTTCTCATCTTATTCTCATCATGTGAACATCTTATTTGAACGAAGCTATTATTAGCCATCTGTTAACAACTTTATGTTTCACATTCTAATTCAGCATAGTAACACTAAGAGGTGAAATTTCCTATAAAGTTAGAAGTATAATCAGAATCTCCAACTATCCTTACAGTGATCTCATCCCAGGTCCCAATTTAGCTAGATTATGCTACATTTGTAACTGGGTTTTTAGTTTTCTTAAGACTCACCCATATATCACATAGTGCTTTAAAAATAGTAATACAAAATTCTAGAATTAATTGTTTCCTTGTAAGGAATACATTACAACAAATTTTTAAGCTGGAGATATAAGGAGACAGGTTAAAAGGTGAAAACCACCTATTAAATAGGGAGCTACAGACATGCTGACCATAAGAAACACTCTCAGGCTATGGTGAATTAACTCTAAGTAGCAGCGCATGTTCTGGAATGCTAAGAAATAACTGCAGGGGAAAGATCAATGTGGCATTCAATTCTCAGAAATGGTAGAACTCATTTGAACAAAAGCACTGCATAAAACACTAAATAACAACAGATGTTTAGTTTTTTTTAATAAATAAGATATATTTATTTTAGAGAGCCAGAGCATGAGTGGAGGTGTAGAGGGAGAGGGAGAGACTCTCAAGCAGACTCTGTGCCGAGCATGGAGCTGGAAGCTGGGCTCGATCTCATGATCCTAGAATCAATGACCTGAATGGGAACCAAGAGTCGGATGCTTAACCGACTGTGCCTCAATGACAACAGGTTTTTTAACAATATTTATATGAGCAGTCATTATATATACACTATGGTGAAAGTTTTGCTCAAGACACTCTGATTATTAAGCCAAGAAATGTGTACGGCTTCTTCCCAACTCTATCAACAAGGTTATTATTGGGTAAAGAGGTGAAGGACCTATATACTTATTAGTCTTTTATTTAATCTCAGGTTTTTTTTTTATTGCAATAAGAAACAGCAACTGATCTTTGAATTTTGTCCACAAAATGTTCATGGTTATCCCAATATTAAAACTGGATATTGTATCTAATCTCATTTGGTAGAAATCCATTCTAAGGTAAAATACCCAGAACAGATTATATTCAGTAGTGAAGTTCCTGTAATCACCAGGACCAGGAAGTGGTCCTTCCACTAAGAAACTTTAAGAGCTGGTCCACTCTGGAAGGCAGGCCCGCAGCAGTGGAATTTGGGCGTTCGTGCGCCAGAGGAGAGCTGCGTGTAGACAGAGCACAGGAAGTAAAATCTGCACAAGGAAGACTGGCAAAAGAAGCTAAGCAGAGTAACAGGATTTCCAGTGACTGGCAAGGATTCAGGGAAGGAATTTTAGTAGACAGGCATTTGGCAGAGTAACTGAGAGTAAGGACTGAAAGGTATTCTGGGTCAATACAGAGAAAACACTGTGGGACTCAGAAAAATACAAAGGAACAGACAGTCATGGCTGGACCACTACATCCTTTGTGTGAGGATGATAATCTAATTCTAAATTTCAGAATCAATGGGGCAGAGGCGGCTGATAAACTTGCCACATATAAAAGGTGTGCTTTGAGACAGAGATGCATCTGGGTCTCCAGAGAGGAAGCCTTTGGTGGATTTTGCTGTGGGAAATTGGAGTTGACAAGGGCTGACATTTCTAATCAACTGAGAATCAATCTTACATAGATGGGCTATCAATCCCATTTTACTTTGCTATCTCTGACTCCTCTCCCTCTTTTTTTTTTTTTTTTTTTTTAAGATTTATCTATTCATGAAAGAGAGAGACCCCAGCAGACTTCTCACTGAGCTCGGAGCCCAACATGGGGCAGGGGATTGGGGAATAGGGGAGGGAGTGGGAATGGGGTGGGGGAGGAGGGGTGCCAATCCTGTGACCCCGAGATCATCACCTGAGCTGAAACCAAGAGTCAGTTGCTCAACT